GCTGCCCAGGATCTGGATCCAGAAGTGCCCGGGATTCTCCATGGCTGACACATAAACCTCCAGGTGCTCGTCCGCAGGGAAGCTGAAATCAGGGCTGGGAACTGTGGGACAGGGACCAGAACAGCCTGGGATGGGCAGCAGGGCATGGAATAGCCCTGGGGCCTCAGTCCCAGCCCTGGCTGCTCATTTCCAGTGCCCAGCTCCTCATTCCCAGCCCCTGGCTCCTCATTCCCAGCCCCTGGCTCCTCATTCCTAGCTTCTGGCTTCTTGTTTCTAGCCTCTGGCTCCTCCTTCTCCTCATTCCCAACCTCTAGCTCTCTCTGCTCCTCATTCCCACCCTCTGGCTCCTTCAGCTCCTCACCCCCAACTTCGGGCTCCTCCAGCTTTTCATTCCCATCCTCTGGCTTCTCTAGATCCCCATTCCCAAGCTTAGGCCCCTCATTCCCATCCTCTGGCTCCTCATTCCCTCCTCTCCCTCCTCAGAGTTTTCCAATCACATGCCAAGGGCCACACAAACTCTCACCCTCAAACTTTGGCACTGATGGCTCCTCGTTCCCGTTCTCTGTCTCCTCATTCCCATTTTCCAGCTCCTTCAGCTCCTTCCCAATTTCTGTCTCCTCGTTCCCATCCTTGGACTCCGTCTCCATTGTCTCCTCACTCCCATCCTGCAGCTGCTGTGCTGGTATCATTCTTTCCCCCCACTCCACATCCCACTGCTCCGCTACCCCAGTGGGAAGTGGCTCCGTGTCCCGGCGGCTGCCCAGGGGCTGCTTCCGAGGGCACCTGGCGGCAGCCGCCTGTGCCAGGTCCCTGCGGAACGCCGCGTCCTCCGACAGCTTCTCCAGGATCAGCCTCTGGCAGCGGGGATACATGAGATGTCGGATCCAGCGGGATCCAGGCACCCCCATCCTGCCCTTCCTGCTCACCTTGGCGGCCTCCACCTCCTTGCGTGTTCCTGAGAGCTGGATGACCCGGATTGGGGCCAGGCTGGCCTCGGAATCACGCCCGCAATCCACCCTGGCCCCCGAGAGCCGGCAGATCCCGCGCACTGTCTCCCCGCCCCGGCCTGCAGGCACGGAATCCCGGGAAAATGAGGAAGAAGGGTGGTTTTCCCGCTGGGGCACCACCGGGATGGAGAAAGGGGGATTTGGGATAGTTCTCACTGAGCCTTGGGGGGTTTGGGAGGGTCCTGGGATGGGGAGGTGGAAAAGAGGT